TTCTGAGAAAAAGCAAGCACGGAGGACGAGAATCGCTGTTGCCCTGCATAGCGTTCCGGGCAGCGGTCACAACCAGCAAGAGAATTCCCGGCTAACAGCTTCTCTCTGGCGGGGACGTGGGGACCGATTTGCGGTGACACGGTTGGCAGCGGCAGGACGGCCACGGCGCGACCTCTCCCCTTCTCCAGGGACTTGACGCTGGGCCAAGCGGCGATGGAAATGTCATTGTCACGGCACGGGGGCCCGGAGGAGTAACGGCCTGCGCCACAGGGACGGGACCGGGACGCTGCCGCACCGAGCTCTGCTCCGCAGCCCGAGAGGCGCCCGGCCCCGAAAAGCCAGCGCAGCCCCGGGCGGAGGGGGCAGCAAGGGGACTGTGGGCTTCGTCCACGCTCCCACGGGCTACAAGGGCCACGGGACAATACCGGGGGGCCGGGAGCCGTCCCACCGCCCGCTTGAGGTGCAGGACATTGGCCTTTTGACCGGACTCTGGCTCCTGCCCGAGCCCGATGAGGAGCCGGGGCTGCGCGTGAACCTATGCAGACCAGGAAGAAATACATTTTCCTGACTTTCCTCGCCTCTTGGCTCCTGCTTTTCTTCTTTGGAGGAGACCAGCTGCGCCGTTTCGCTTTCTTTTCCCGGAGAAAAGTTGAAGCTCGCAGGAACTGGCCCCACTGGACGGATCGGTCCCTCCTCAAAAGCTTTGCAGACCCCGAGGAGCTCCTGAGCGATGGGGACCCCTCACTGCCATCGCCCCGGGAGCGGCAGGCGGCACGGCTGAGCGTCTACAAGAACAGCAGATGCCGGATGGAAACCTGCTTTGACTTTTCCAGGTGTGAAAAACACGGCTTCAAAGTCTTCACCTACCCCCGGGAGAGGGACCAGCCCCTCTCAGAGAGTTACAGCAAAATCCTCGCCTCCATCGAGCGCTCTCGCTACTACACCCCGAGCCCCGAGGAAGCCTGTCTCTTCATCCTTAGCATCGACACGCTGGACCGCGACCATCTCTCGGGTCAATACGTCCGTAATGTCGATGAGAAAATCCGCAGCTTCCCGCTGTGGAATGGCGGCCGTAACCACCTCATCTTCAACCTCTACTCGGGCACTTGGCCCAATTACACCGAGGACCTGGGCTTCGACATCGGCCAGGCCATCCTGGCCAAAGCCAGCTTCTACACCGAGAGCTTCAGGCCTGGCTTTGACATCTCCATCCCTCTCTTCTCCAAGGACCACCCCCAGCGCGGCGGGGAGAAGGGTTGGTTGTATCAGGACTCGATCCCCCCGAAAAAGAAATATTTGTTGGTGTTCAAGGGGAAGCGGTACCTGACCGGCATCGGCTCCGGCACCAGGAACGCGCTGCACCACATCCACAACGGGAAGGACATCATCTCGCTCACCACCTGCAAGCACGGCAAGGACTGGGAGAAGCACAAGGACACACGCTGCGACAAGGATAACGTCGACTACGAAAAGTGAGTGGGAAGATGGGGTGGGAAAGGGGGTCTGGCGGGGGGACACGCACCCTGCAAATGTCCCTGCCCCTCTGCGGGGTGCAGCCATGCCCGTCTGGTGGCTGGACCTCCAGGTGTGGGGAGAGAGGAAAGTTTTGGGCTCTCCTGAAGTAGCTGAGGGTTTCATTTCCATGGAGGGGAGCTGATTGTTCAGGGCTTTCCTGCTCTGCATTAAAGTTCAAGTAATCTGGCGAGAGCGGCTCTTATCTGCAATCACTGCGGCTGCCTCTAATACGATTTCCCTTTTTCCTAACGCTGATGAATGATGCTTTTCTTCTCCCCCCTCCCTCCCCTAACGTAAACGTTTCTCTTGGAGATGAGCCCAAAACATCCCCCCCCTCACTGGCTCCACCAAAAGTCCCACAAAACCGGCGGCTCCTTGGGCACCCCGCTGTGGGCAGCCCTGAGCTCACCCAGACGGGGTGGGGTGGGGGGTCCCCCTTCATCCCCTCTCGCAAATGGGGATAGTGGCAGCAGTGTGTGATGGATTTGGTAAAAAAATTGGGGGGGGGGCAAAGGTCTGTCAGTTTGGGTTTTTCTCCACGGTGCGGGGACACACTTCGGCTCCTCACCTCCCTGTCCTGCTGCCTGGGACCCGTCACCCACCACCGGGTGCGGGGCTGGTGAGCGCAGACCCCGTCCCGCTGTCTGGGGACATCCCGCAGCCACCTGGCTGGAGAGCAGATGGGGAGAGGCCACGTTGGGCATCATCCTCAAAGCGTCTTAGGAGGTGCTGAGAGGTAAAAGTGGAGCCGGGGTGCTGCAGGCACTGGGATTAACGGGGATGTAGGGGTGGCACAAGCACCGCATGGCCCCATCCCGGTGGGTGCCACCAGCCCCGCAGGGTCACCCCCTGCCACGAAGCCTTTTTGGGGATGGGACATCGCAGGATGGTGGGATGGGGGACACCAAGGTCAGCCCCACGCTGTGCCGAGGGCTGGTGGGATGAGAAATCCCCCTCCCATCCAGCCCAGGTAATCCCCTAATGCTGTTTGCAAGTACAGGGAGATTTACACCTCGCGTGGGGCGGCTTTAGGCAGCAGATAGATGGAAAACACGTGGCACAGGGCAGCGTGCTGGTGCGTGACACCGAGCCTCTGCCGTCCTGCTTGTCCCCATGGGACACCCAGGCAAAAAGCCATCGGCGTCTCCATCATGCTCTGCCCGACCCCACATCAGGGATTTACGGCCTCGTGCGCCGGGAGAAGATGTCCCAGACCCAGAACTGGGGCAGTGACACCGGGGACAGGCCACGGTTGGTAAAGCAAGACCCCAGCTGTCCCTTCACCCAGTGCCAGTTTGCTCGGGGTGGTGGGTGCCGGCGTGGCGGAGGGCAGCACGGGGAGCGGAGGAAGGCCTTGCTGGGGGCTCCATCACCCTCCTCGCGCCGGGGGGCTGCTTCAAACAAACCGGTTCTGTGCCCGGATAAAGGGCGGCTTGTGGCAGTGCCGCGGTCCGGCCCTGCTGCGGGCTGCCCCGGGTTTAAAGCAATCCAAGTGGGTTGGGGAAGGTTCTGTGGAGCCGACGGGTCCCCCGACAGCACCGTGCCTGGCCGGAGCCACGGAGGGGCCGGGTGGAGGGAGCACGGCAGGCGCCCGTCCTGGTTCCTAACAAAACAAGGAAGCCCTGATGGCGTGATTACTCGGAAACCGCAGCGCGTCAGGAGCGAAGTATTTCCATCGGGAGGTTTTGGCCCCACAGCCCGGCCGGCGCCAGCCTCCCCGCGACGACCGCCTGCGAGGGGAGGCTGCCCGCAGCCGCTCTGCCCCCCCGGGATACATCCTGCTGCCCGCCCAGCTCCGGCAGTGGGAACGGCCCTGCGGAGGTGCTGGGGGTCACGGCAGGGTTTGGGGTGCCCAAGGAGCGGGTGGCAGCAGGGCTGCCCCGAGGGCGAGCAACTCCAGGGCTGTGGCCATCGCTGCCGTAGTTTCACGGGGGGGTCTGGAGGCTGTTTGAGCCCCTCCGGCTGGTCGCTCAGCCAGGAGCCGGGGTGTCAACGGGGCAGGGTGCGCTAATGGGGATTTCACCTTCTATTGGAGACATTGGGGTGGTTCATCCGGAGGAAGGGTTTGATCGTAAAACTTTGTGCCTTGGCATTGGGGCTGATTTCTCACATCCCAGGGCGCCAGGATGCTCCCAGGTGCTCCAGAACCCATAGAGGGGACACATCCTCAACCCCCAGGTTGGGACCAGCCCCACGTCCCCACCACGGGGAGACCCTTCACCCCTGGGGACCAGCACATTTCAAGCAGCCCTTTGGCTTTGTGGCCCCCCCCTCACTGGACCACGCGCATCCCCTTGGGCCCATCCAGGACCTGGCTGCCCCGTCCCTCCCTTCTCGCAGGCAGGAACAGAGACGGGGTCTGTCCCGACCTAAAGTCAATATTGGATTTTCCGGCGCGGTCGCAGGGACTCGGCGGCGGATGCACCTCTCCCCACCGGCCTCACAGAAGGGGCTTTCATAGCCCCACGGTGCAAGCCCAACCCAGGGGGGGGGCCCGCTGCCTGCACCCCTGCAGGCAGCCGGCCCTCTGCCCCCGCTG